TTTTTTGCAGGAGCAAAACAGCAGTCCTGACTGACAGTAGAATCCGTCTCATGAACGAAGTGGTGTCTGGCATCAGGATAATCAAGATGTACGCCTGGGAGAAACCCTTCTCAGCGCTGCTTACTGAAGTCAGACGGTAAGGATGGAAGCAGCATCTTTAGTAAAGAACAGACAAACTTTGTTAGCATGTTGGCAGGAATCAAATAGAGAATTGCTGGGCGTGTGTTCGGATTCAAAAAACTTTATTTGACCCCAGGGGGGCAATCATAATGCACTCCCAATAATGTCTGGGCATGCTCTAATGAGGGCCAGAACATCAGGGCCTGTCAGTGGCATCAATGCCTTCATCATCCAGGAACTGCCTACACACTCTGGCTACATGAGGCGAGGCTGGACCAGGAGGAACCAAAGGCCACTGCCCAGCAAAAGGTCTGACAGTGGGCCTGAGGATTTCATCCCAATACCAAACAGCAGTCAGGGTATGATTGGCTAGCACATGGAGCTCTGTTTGACCCTCCACAGATATGCCCCCTGAGACCATCACTGACCCTCCACCAAACTGGTCACCCCAGTGTTCACTGTGGCATCTCCAGACTCTTTCATGTCTGTCACATGTGCTCTGTGTAAACCTGGAACTGGGCGCCACTCGCAAACCTGCCGATTCTCGAGTTCTCTGGCAAATGCCATTTGAGCTGTACAGTGCTGGGCTGTGAGCACAGGTCCCACTGAAGGATGTTGGGCCCTCACGCCACCCTCATATAGTCTGTTTTTGTAAGGGTCTGGTGGTGCTCCTCTCTGCCTCCTCACACAAAGAAACAGACATCTGTCCTGCTGCCGGGTTGTTTCCCCATCGGGCATGTCCACACGTGTCCCGGCCCTGTCCAGTCCCTTAGGGAACTAGCAAAATGCAAAACTAGACAAAATTAGTCAGGAATGATAAGTAGAGAGGAATAGTTTGTGGCCACCACCTACAAAACCATTCTGCTGTTGCCTCTCCTGTCCAACTGTTGCTGCCCTCACTTTCACCAAAGCATCAAAGCATCTTCTGCATGGCCTATGCAAGACAGTATACCTTAGAAAAGCTGCCATTTCTGCAGGCTTCCAAAGTTTGATTGGAAAGTAAAAGAAAGCAGCGTTGCTGGTTTGACCCTTCGCAATTAGTCAAAGGAATTTTCAAATGATGTGTGGTTTCTCCGGAGGCATGTGCGTTTAAAGCAGAAGGTGACAGAGGCAGACATCTATGTTTATCATGGTGGTCAAAAAGTGGAGCGTTCCGGCCATCCATTGATTCAGCCAAGTTCAGGAACAAACATCAGGTGCTGTGTGTGCTACTGTAAGAATGTGGAAGGTTAAAGTTGTTCAAAAACACCAGAGGACTTCAGAGTACTAAGAGACAAAGACAGCTGCTTGAAAACATCATTCCTGAGCAAACGTCTGGAATTCCAACAGGCTGGCTTTTTTTTTTTTTTTGTATGTTTACATTTAGATTATTTATTATCTGAAGCTTGATTTATAGGCGCTTGTTTCCACAGAAGAGAAATGCATGAGAAATAGTTGAAGAAAATTAAGCACATGGAGCATTCCTTTGTGCTTTATTTAAACAAGCTGGTCTGGGAGAGAAGTTTAGATTTTGATTTATGCACTACTTTATGAGCATTCTCTCCTTGTGTTGCAGTTACAGTTTAAAGTAAACACTTTCCAAGGCTCTTCCTGAGAAAACCTATATAAAA